AAAAAAAAAAAAAGAGTGCTTTTACAAGTGGCATTAAAATATGACTTTTCCAGGTGAAAAGATGAGAAAAGGCACTCAGACTAGAAGCAATAGCAGGAATAGATGTCCTGTGAATATCCCTGGTATATTCAGGGAAAGATCCACAGGAGAGTGACCTCCTGGAGAGTGGGGAAGTGTATCCATTCCTTTGCCAGTGATTTTCAGGAATGGATATAGGAATCCATTTCAGCCAGTGAGGTAGGAGGGGAAGTCTTGGCCTGCGGTGGAGGCGGTCATTGGAGAAAGTCTCCTTGCTTTTACAAAGGGGCACAGGAAAGAAGCCCTCTCTCCTGGCCTTGCTGCCATTTTGCCTCATCTGTATGCTGAGACTGGCAGAACAGAAAGGAGAAAGGCTAGGACCCCTGAGCCATCCAGTCAATGATGAAGCACCCACTATTGCAGTATCTCAAAAGAACTGACAGAGAACTGGAATTCTCATGCGCTGCTGGTGGCAGCACACTTCACACAACCACTGTGGGAAATTGGCAGATTCTTATAAGGTTAAACATCTACCCCATGACCTAGGACAATAATATTCATATCAACTTTATTTATAGAGGCCCAAATCTGTAAACAAAGTACCATTGGCCATCAGCAGTCTGAATAAATCATGGTATATTCATACATTATTTCTCTCTAGCAATTAAAAAAATTACTGCTACACATGAAAATATAGATGAATCTTAGAACATTGAGCAAAAGAAGTTAGCCACAAAAGAACACACACTATGTGATTCCACCTATATGAATTTCAGAAGTAGGCAAAACTCACTATGGTGGTAGTCATCAGAATAGTGGGTACCTCTGGGCTGGCAGGAGCATTGACTAGCAGTAGGCAAAAGGGAAACTTCTGGTGCTAGAAATGTACTTTTTTTCTTTCTACTCATAGCATTTTGGTGAAGAAATGTACTTTCTATATCTTAATTTGGCCAGTGGTCATGTGGATATGTACACATGTAAAAATTCACCATGCTGGGGCAGTGCCTGTGGCTCAAAAGGGTAGGGTGCCAGCCCCATATGCTGGAAATGGTGGGTTCAAACCCAGCCCCGGCCAAGAAAAAAATTCACCATACTGTACATTTAGGATTCGTGTATTTTACTCTATGGGAATTATGTCTCAATAGAAAAAAAAAAAAAAAACTTTTACAAAAGAATAAGCCAGGGTTCCAGCAGGTGCCCAGATGAACCACCTGGGGAACATCCTAGTCACCTCAGTGACACAGGGAATTTGGTCCAAACCACATGATTTGGCTGCAAAATCTGGTCAAACACCTTAGGTCTGTGCTCTGGATAGAACACAGACTGAATATTAGCAATCTGGATACTGCTGCCTCCAGCTGGCTGTGTGATCCTTGCTGAGTTATGTCTCTTTCTGGGCTTTATTTCCCCATCTGTTAAATGGGAAGGTCATTGGACCCCAGCGTGTAATTAGTAAATAACCAACTGTTTCAATTGTTTATTGCTGTGTAACCAACTATCTACTACAAATGTAACAGCCTAGAATGCTAGTATTTTATAGACACTCATAGTATTGTGAGTTAACCTGGCTCAGCTGGGCAGTTCTCTTCCTGTCTTTTTTGCAATCAAGTGGCAGCTGGGGCTGGGGCTCATCCGAAGGCTCTACTAGGCAGGACTTCCAAGCTGGCTTTTTCACTCATGTCTGGGGCCTCACATGGGATGCCTACAACACTGGGGGCCAGCTAGACATCTCTCTCCCTTTCTCCATGTGGGCACTTCATGTAGCTAGCTTGGGCTTCCTCACAGCATGGCAGTCTTGGGCTAGTCTGCAGGCTGGCTTTCTCCATAGTGGTTGACTTCCCTTAGAGGGCTCAAGATATGCAGGGGGAATCTCCAACTCCTTACAAATTAGACTTGAAAATGCTGGAGCATCACTTCCATCACATTAGTCAGTAAGAAGTCACTGGGCCAGCCCAGATTCAGTGGGAGGGGATGACAGCAGAGGTTGAATGTCAGAGGTGTGATTCACTGGAAGCCATTTTTCTTCTCTGTTCCTGCTTCTCTACCTACTCTCCAGCTCCTCCTCTCTCTCCCCTGTGGAATTCTCTTTCTTTCTAGGCCACTAATGTTATTCTTCCCCAGGATCTGTCCTTAGCCCTCCAGTCTTTTTTTTTTGAGACGGAATCTCAAGCTGTCACTCTGGGTAGTGTGCCATGGTGTCATCATAGCTCACAGCAACCTCCAACTCTTGGGCTCAAGTGATCATCCTCTTGCCTCAGTTTTTCTATTTTTAGTAGAGATGGGGTCTCACTCTTGCTCAGGCTGTTCTCGAACTCCTGAGCTCAAGCAATCCACCTGCCTCAGCCTCCTAGAATGCTAGGATTACAGGCGTAAGCCACCTCGCCTGACCTCTCTACTTTTCTTCTATGTGCTGTCCTGTGATGACCTTGATCTCTTGGCCTTGCTTTTTGTTACCAGCTGTGCTAACCACTCATATCTGTCTTCAGCCCAGACCTTACTCAGGAACTCCAGTTTTGGACAGCCTCAGTCTCAAGGCCACCATCAAGGCCTTGTCTTTCTTCCAACCTGTTCCGTCCTCTTCAGTGTGTGCTGGCCCCATGAGTCAGCCTCTGGATAGGCCTTGGGGTCACAACTGGCACCAAGCATCCTGGCTTCAGAATGTCTCAGTCTGAGAAGGAGGTGAAATTGGCATTAGGCAGTTAATTATAAGAAGCCACAACTGACTGGGAGGATGCAGCCAACCCAGCCTGGGAGGGGAGGCTTCTTGGAAGAGCAGGCTGGACTTGACCAGGCTAGGTGGGTGGGGAAAGTACTGGGCAAATGAGCTTCAAACGTTCTGAAATGGGCCAGTCAGGGTGGCTCACACTTGTTATTCCAGCACTTTGGATAACTAAGGCAGGTGGATCATTTGAGGCCAGCCTGGGCAACATAGTCAGATACTATCTCTGAAAAAGAAAAAGAAAAAGTCAGCTAGTACATGTAAAATGCTGAAAAGAGTGCCTGGGACCTACCTGAGCATAGTACAAATGTTACCTATTATTATTGTTGTGACAGTGTTATTGTCACTGGGTGTCGTGAGGATTAAATGAAATGGCATATGTAAATTTGAAAACATAGGGCCTGGAATACAGTATTTTAATAAACCAGAGCTATTATTTTATTATTAGTTAGAAGTCAGCCCTTGCCTCTGCCCCCTGCCATCTCCAGGAGATCTGATTAAACTTGGTCCAAACCCCATCCCAA